TGCTGGTACAGTAACAGTCTGTGTTGAGCTCCATGGTAGCGACAGTCAATTGCAAGATGCATGGGTGTAGCAGTGAACGTTGTGGTTGCAGCAGTGGCTGCATGTATGGCTGGACCAGCTTCAGTAACAAGGTGTGTGTCTGAGCAATGGTCCTCAGTGACAAGGCGCATCAGCAGCACTCAGCGGCTATATGTAGCTGTTATGTGCAGTAGCTTTGTGGCCAGTGGTGAGGTGTGCAGGCACAGCCAGTGCTATGGGTATTACGGCTACTAGTTGCAAGATGCACGGGTGAAAAAACAGTCAGTGGTGATGTGCAGTGGCAGTCAAGAGAAAAAGGTACAGGTAAATCAGCCTTCAGTGGCGACGTGCAGTGGTAGTAAGTGGGTGCTAGCAAAAAAAAACCCAGAGCTGCAGACATGACATTTACTCTTCTTAAGACACTAGCGAAAACTAAGGCATGGTGGCAGTAGGAGGGGTTATCCGGGGCTGGCCTACATTTTTTTTGCCAGTGTCCAATCCTCCTGTAGGTGGCAGCATAACCCGCAGTTTAAAGACTTCCATTGTCCCTTAATGGAGGACGAAATGTAGCTTCTCCTCCTCCCAGTTGCTCATTCCACCTGAGTTCCAGGAGTACCAGCATTGTTTCCTGTGTTAATTAAAAGTGTAATGGTAACAGGGTAATTTTAAAGTAACACCAGACACATTTTTTTCATATTAAGTGTATACATGGTAAATAGTGTGTAAGTGTATCACCTCTAGGTATTTATCATCTCTCACAGAGATCATAGTACTCCCCTTACCAATTCTTTCATCTGATTTTCTCTCCAGAACGACAGCACCTCTTGACATCTCTGTTATGATATCATCCAGAGCCACCACCAACTACTTAATTTGTAAATTTGTTGAATAAAATATATAGTTTGTTATGTGCAGTTATGTTAAAGATGGTGAACCTGCCATGCCACTGCCAGCAACAAGGCTTAAACACACAGCACTGGGAGCTGCTATGGAGATAGATGCAGCTCTGGTATCCTCCATACTAAAACGCTGAATGGGATCCACCATATCCAAACTATATCAATGTGCTAGGCAACATGTTTCTTGGACACGCCCTCTTTGTTAGGCCCACCTTCCATGAGGCATCATCATTTGCTTTATTACCAATAAATGTTGATGTGTTATGACACTAGGTCAGGTTACAGTCCATGTACCCATTGAACTCCTGACCGCTCATCCATTAGGAAGATAGAATATGTCTATTTATTGATGTAATGCAAAAAAAGTATAACATACTTAGTGCGACGTTTCGGCGTCACGTAGGATCCCCTTCCTAAGGCAGAACAAGTGTTGTATGTTGTTATGCTTAATTTGCATGTACGTCAATAGACGTATTCTATCTGCCGTTGGAGTGCCGGTGTCCATATTCTTTTTTTATGACAATAGGTCAGGGCACTTTTTGTGCTTGTACCATTTTAGGATTGAGAATTTCCCTTTGACATAGGAAACTGCAAGACGGCTATAAATAAAGAACTCTCTCATGAACTTTGATGGGCGCTCGTCTTTACATATCCATTTGTATTGTTAGGATGTTATAGTGGTTTTATGGGATCCACTTGGGTCCCACCACCACCCACCAAATACTTCTATGGCCAGAAAGTAAGTGCAGACCTATTTTTCTTTATGTAGCCGTGTGAAGTAGGAAGTGAGTGTAATTCATGTTGGAGCTTCAGTACAAGGGGCAGCGGGTCACACTCTGCAATGAAGTTTTCTAAAATCTTTGAATGTATATAACCAACCAGGGAGGAAGTGGAGTCCAACTGCAGCCAACACTATTTATTTTGTTTTGATTAGAGCCCATACATGTTAGTAATTGGTATATTTCTGCTCACTTGTGTTGGAAAATCTCTCCAATAGAAACAGACAAAAACACATTTTTCGTAGAATAGGAACTTCTGACAATGTTTTTATCGCACCCCATGTCTTCTTGTTCTGTTGATGACCACCCTCCTATTTCTTGTAAGGGTGTCACAAGGAAAGGAAGTGCGGAAAAACTATCCCAGTAATGTCACCAATATGATTCTGATATATTCCACTTCTGAAATATTAACTCTTCCCTGCTCTATCCAAAATTGTTTTAAAAAATGGCTGGAGTTAGCTTGTAAAGTATCTGTAAACCCCAATGGAACGATGTGGTAAAGCTCTGTGTAACATTAATAATTGCCATTTTTTATCATCAACAAACTGTTTTCACCCTTTTTTCTACATGCACTGTTGCATCTCCTGCAGCCTCTGTGCAGCCACCTTCCATCAATATTTACTGGCTCCAGAAACTTCTGCGCATCACTTCTCAGGGCAGGTTTCCTGATGGTGAACAACGAACCATGCCTGCATAATGTGCATTGGTACATCAGCTTGTAGTGGAAGAAGGTATGACAGGGTGACAACACAGAAGCACATTTGGGAGATGGCGACAGATCATTGTCACTCTAAGAGGGCCAGTTCACACCACAACTGCATCAGAACTGTGTGCGTCTGCGCAACTGCAGTGCGATGCATTTTGCTACGATTTTGACACTTCCCCCC